GAAGAGGGCTGTACTCACTGACAGCAAGCAAGGCATATCAGCACAGTCCATGATTCTGGAGAGCCAGCGCGGACCCAGCGCGCCGAAAGCCTCCGGGGCAGCGGCTGCCGAGCGCCTCCCGCGATCGCCGCCCGGGCGCAGTGCGGCCGCCGCCGCCGCCGGCCCCGGTTTTCTCCCGGCCCCGCAGTCACGTGGAGCCGCTCACCACCCCCCCGTCGCCCCCCCCCCCCCCCCTCCCGGCCCGGCTCGGCCCGGCCCGCCGCCCCCGGCCCGCCCCCGTCCGGCCCGGCCCCGCGGGGGACGGCCCGACCCGCCCCGCCGCCCGCGCCTGGTTCTCCCTCCAGGGAGGGGGGAGGCGGCGGAGAGCTGCGGTCGGGCGGGGAGGGGTCCGCGGGGTGAGCTCAGGTGGGCGGCACCGTGGTGTCCCTTAAGTCCCCCCTTCGGTTTGGCCCCTCTCAGGTGCGTCCCTCGGGACGCGTCCCCGAGGGGCTGCGTTAACCCTGCGCTCTGCCTTCGGTTCCCACCTGAAATCGGAGTTTTCTCTCCCTTCCCTCTGGAATAAAGCTCATTCCCTCCGGGCCGGGTTCCCTGACCTCACGGGGGACACGTGTCCACAGCACGGTACCAATAGGGACACCCAAAAGAATGCTTCCTCTCCTGAACGTGCCAAAGGTTTCAGTTACGGCCAGATTTGGGGCTGAGTTGAAAGCCCAGGGCTCAAAGCTGCTCCCCAGCAGGGTGTGGGGATGGAGTGGTTGGTCACTGGGAGCAATGGGGTGGTCTGGAGAGGGCACTCGTGGGGTGGGAGCCCTGATGAAGAGTGCTGGGGTGCCACAAGCAGACAAGGTGCAGACTGAACAATCCCATGGTAAAGAAAGAGTTCCTCCAGAGTGTCAGATTCATCCCTTTGCCCTCCTGGGTTGGATAAACCACCACCCGTAGATAGAAAAGTTAATGAGATTACGGGACCAAAAGACACAGTCAGAGGGTTGGCCACAGGAACTCCTCATGGAATCACAGAACCATTCAGGTTGGAGAAGACCTCCAAGATCCCCAAGCCCAACCCCAGCCCACCCCACCATCCCACTGCCCACATCCCTCAGTGCCACATCTCCACTGAACACCTCCAGGGATGGTGACCCCACCACTGCTGGGCAGCTGTGCCAGCACCTCACTACTCTTCCAAAGAAGACATGTTTCCTAATATCCAAGCTGAACCTCCCCTGGTGCAACTGAAGGCTCAGCTCATAGACGAACTGTGAGCACAACCCTACATGTTCCCCCAAAGCACCAAACTGCCGTGCCCAAGCACACAGCAGGACTGGGGCAGCACTCATCACCTTCCTGACACTGCCCCACAGCTCACACAACCAGGCACGACTTCCTTTAATATTTCATGTTTTCTAGCTCAGGCCTGACCCACGCATTACAAAAGCCTGGGGATGTCACCGAAAGGGCGCACGCAGATAAAAGGCAGTGCTGACACTGTAATATCTCTGAGTTATTCCTATACCACTCTGAGTTTAAAAGAAACATCTGTTAGCAAGGTATTTGGGCTATGAATCCATCACAATTTGTGAAATATTGCCATCGCCATTTCTAATGTATCACGCTGTGCGTTATTCTTAACAAGGGAAAACAATTTTTGGAGTAGCTGCTGTGCAACTTTTTAAAGTTAAATAACATTTTCATTGAAAATATCCCCACCTAAAAACAAAGTTTGTGCAAGGGCCTGCATAGCACTGCTCTTAAAACAGACCTCTGGGTTCAGCAGAGCAACCCATGCCTCTGTGTGGGAGCAGCACTCAGGTGTCACTCCTTCCCTAAGGACCTCATTCAGATTTTGGTAGGATCGGAGGTGCTGGCAATGTTTATCGATGAGGAATTCAGTCCCACAGCATCCAGTGCCTCCACGACGAAGCTGTCCCGTGTCCTTTGCCCAAGGAGGCTGTGGGTGCATTCAGGGCCAGGCTGGATGTGGCTCTGGGCAGCCTGGGCTGCTGGTTGGTGACCTGCACACAGCAGGGAGTTGGAACTGGATGAGCACTGTGCTCCTGTGCAACCCAGGCCGTTCTAGGATGCTATGATAAGAGGGATCCAAAAAGTGACTTATGTAATGCTGGTTAACCATGGCTCTGCACTAGGAGGTGGCCAGCTGGGGACAGCAAGCCCGTGGAGAGCACTGTGGTTTAGGCTCTTGTAGGAGGCAGTGGTGTATTTGAGTAGCTTATTGGTTACTAAGAAGTGTTAGTCATGGGGAAAGCTGTAGTATTTATTCCGTAAAATGTAAATACATAACCCAAACCACAGCGGAATAACCATGGATGGAAATAGTGTAGCATTTACTGAGGGAGCTGAAATGCGTTTCTACAGAAGCTGTATTTCCTTAGCCCCATAGAGAGTAATTCACCTTGAACGTAGCTTCTGCTCCAGCCCGTGGAGTTACACACAGGCTGAACTCGGTCCAGGCACGCTAAATAACTGAGTGTGTTATATATTCCAACCAAAAAAAGTGAATGCCAAAATGGAGCTAAAAATACAAATGTGGAAGGTTTGAAAAGCAAACACTGCTTAATTCAGCAGCAGATACAACATTGTATGTTTTAAAGATCCAGCAAATCAAAAATAGAGAACGTTATGTCTGTGCTCCGTGTGAGACACACCTCACCACGCATCACATCTCGTGGTGGTGGGGAGAGTGGCTCAGGTTCTTCCCTGTGATCTGGGAATGTCCCAGCCGTACTGGGGCAATCCTACCTCTGTGAAAACCTCCCAGGATTGGAAGCAACACTGCTCATCTCTGAGCTAAGAACCACTTCGCCAGATATTTTAGGTCAGGTCTTAGGAAGCATTTCTTCTAAAAGAGCGGTGCTGCCGTGGTACAGCTGTCCAGGAGTGGTGGGGTCACCGTCCTGAAGGTGTTCCAGTGCCATGGAGATGTGGCACTCCATCCACATGGTGGGGTGGGGATCTTAAAGGCCTCCTCCAACCTGAATGATTCTGTGGTTCGCTGGGAATGTCACCTTGCAAAGAATAGCCAGAGGACAAAGGTGAGTTGTGCATGTAGACCTCAGGTCATGTTTGCTGGTGGTGGTGAGAAGCCCAGGAACTGGCAGGTCCTGGATCCCTGGTGCCCAGCTCTGCTTGCAGTTAGTGTTCTCATTTCAACCCTATAATCACAGAGTAGCCTAGAAGTATTCCTGATACAATCCCAGCTGCTAACATCTGCTCTGCTTCCAGGTTTTGTGTGCTCAGGCCTTACCAGCAGGCACTGTGGGTGACAGAAACACAGAACCATTCAGGTTGAAAAAGCCTCTGAGATCCCCAGCCCCACGCAGCCCACTGTGCCCACTGCCCACCTCCCTCAGTGCCACACATGGGACACCTGCAGGGATGCTGACCCCACCACTCCATGGGCAGCCACTGCAGCACTGCTCTTTCAGAGAAGAAATGTTTCCTCATTTCCAGCATTCAGCACCTCTAGAAATTAGGCCAGTTCTGTTTACAAGACAAACTTCTCCACTCATGGCAGCACTTTGGGAGATGCCTCTGGACTTGGGCAGAGAGAGACCTCCCCAAACCAGTTCTTATATCCTGTTTTTTTTTTTATTTTATTTTTAGAGCAGCTGCACCTTTTGGGCTCCAGAGTTTGCAAACAACCTGCCTTGGGAAAAGAAAGAAAAAATCAACCCCCAACCCCCCCCCCCCCCAAAAAAAACCCACCCTTGTCTCACCGGATTTGTGCTACAGCAGAAACAAGCCTAAAGCTGTAAATAGGTAAATAAAGTTATATACCAGAGAAGTTGTAATGACATGAATTACAGGAGGGGATGCCCATAAGTGTGCTGAGATCGACTCCCTCCTACCCCCTCCTTTCAACTGCCTAAGCTGGTCCATTAAAGCAAAAACACTGAACAAACAACTCCGAGGGATTACATTTTCCAAAGCAGCTCCTCGCTGAAGAGCCTGAATGCAGCCGATGGAAACAAGCACAGCTGCTGCAGTGGTGAAGGGAACAGCTTTTATTGCCACACTGAAGTTTTTGTTATTGCTCCGAACGCTTCAGAGCTGGGCTGTCCCACCAGTGCTTCCTGCCTTTTCTTGAGAACAGAAAGCCAGACCTCTCGTGGAACGCAGGATCAGGCCCAGCTTGGAGCTCACTCCAGCTTTACTTTCCTCTATTCTTAAGTTTTAAGGCTGATTTTTATCGTTTTGCGAAGTCTACAAAGAGGACGACCATCCCCTGCAGGGAGAACATTCAGACTGAGCAAACCTGGGAATTTCACCCCTTCCTTTTTGTACACACGTCGTCCATCTGCTCCAGTTACAACGCAAGGCCCCTTCAGTTCAGTGCTGTCCCTTCTGAGATTCTTGGGCAGTGCATGGAAACAAGGAGGCCTGGGTCCTGGGGAAGTGCTCCAGCAGTACAAATCACAAAATAAAGCTAAAGCCATTCTAGTGGTATGTTATGGAAAGTCTCCTGACCTGTGCTACAAACAACTCCAGCACAGGTTGCTTGGAGAGGCAGTGGATGCCCCATCCCTGCAGACACCCAAGGGCAGGCTGGATGGGGCACTGAGCACTGATGGAGCTGTGGGTGCCCCTGTGCACTGCAGAGGAGTTGAACATGATGACCTTTAAGGGCCCCTTCCAACCCCAACAATGTGAATCTGTGACTGAAGCCACGTGTTGTAAAATCGTTTGTACACTGATTGATGACTGTTACCAGAGGAAAATCCATATTCTCATGCACGTTCTGGAAATAATCATTGCTTTTAGCCTACATTTGCTTCCCATTCAATCAAAGCCTCATCCTTGAGATGCGAGAGGGACCTCCAGAAGGTGAGGGATGTATTTGCAGGATCATACAATCATTAAGGCTGGAAAAGACTTCTAAGGTGATCTTTGAGGTCCAGCTGCCAACCCATCACCACCAAAGACCATCCAGTTCCAGCCCCCATACCACAGGCAGGGTTGCCATAAACTACACAGACACCAGATGAGGCTGCCCAGGGCCTCCCAACCTGGCCTTGAACACCTCCAGGGATGAGCATCCACAAAACCATCGTTTTCCTAAGGAACACTGTAAGGCCATAAGAGAAGAAGGCTCATTTCAGACTGGTTGAGCCACAAATACGTTTTGAGAACACCGCAATGCTGGCATCTCCCTCAGCATCCACACCACTTCAGAGTCTCCAGCACTGATATTAATGATTAATTAATTATGGCTTTAATGATTTCAAATGCTAGCACAAGGCATAAATAAGCAGAGCAGGACAACTGCTGCAAAAATAATTCTAGGAGGACATGCTTGAATTTGCTAGATAAGTTTGTTTAGAGCACTAAACACGTTCTACTTGGTTTTCAGCAGCAGAGGAGTTTAGCAGTGAGCATTATTGTAAGTGCCTGGAAATGCCAGCACATCTATGAATTTCAGACTCATGACTGTGACTGTCCTCTCCTGAAATTAGAGAAGAGAAATCCTTTTAGGGATTCCCATCTGCCTGGAGGTGGAGAACACGGGAACAGCTTGTGGCTTCCATCTCCAGCCACAGGAGGCTGGTGGGGCTCATTTGCACCACCTGCCTGGTGACTAAGTGCTCACCATGAGCAGATCAAGGGTCATTCATAGAAAGTACGCATCAAATAGGCTTTCATAGCGAATGTGTATGAGAGCATCAGCTTCCCACAGACATGTGATGAGAAAAATCACTTCAGGAAGAAAGGCTGCCTCTCCATGGCCATCTAAATGAGGCTGCAGGTTATATTGGCTTTGTTAGTTCTGTCCTACTTCAACTCAATATCCCATGTACCTTTATAGCCATGCATGTGGTTATAAACACACACGAACACGTAAACACAAATCCATCACACTTGGCTAAATCATGCTCAGTGCAGTAAGGTCTTCACTCAAGCTTACTCTAGTGCAAAGCAATCCATGTTAGTGCAACACATTTGTCAGGTCAACGCAGTTCACTCCAAGTACCCTACAAGTTTAGTCCTTCTGAAACAGGTAGATGGGAAGGAAGGAACTACAAGTACTTCCAGTCCTTCCTGACAATAACTTTCTAGCAGGACCTACTTCACTGCAGTGCAACAGGACCGTTTTATTACTGATGAAGTGAGCTAAGGAGTGAGGTGTTCTCTGGGTTTATTCTCAAGGTAGAAGTGTTCTTACTTACTGTTACCTGCTCTGTCCTCTTCGGTTCTGAGACAACACCTGTAAGCAGAATCAAAGCCCACCACATTCTCTCCTAAAAATCTATTACGCAAAGGCACTTGAGCAAGAGCAGAGCTTGTGTCAACTGCAGCAAGGCACGGTTTCATTTTTGGCTTTTTCCTCCCTAAGCAATTACCTGTTTCCCCCTTCACTGCTTCCATCACACACAGACGCTGAGTCAGCAGCCTAAAGCTGGGAAGTTCAAAGGCGAGAGGTTCTGGGCCACGCTGCAAGTGCTGGCGTGCCTGCAGGAAGGCAGGTCTGATGATGAAGGAGTTGATTTGGACTTCAGAAGCTCTAGCTTCAGCTTTGTGACTCTGTGACACCACAAACCTACTTTATCCAACTGGTTAATTATATGCTTAACCGTGAAGGGTGATTAAAAAAAATTAGGAAAGGAGAAGATTAGAATTAAAGGCATGTCAGAGTCTCCATCTGGGAAGGAGAGCACTTTGAACCATCCTCAGAAATGAAGCAAAACCACATGTCAGTTCTGAACAAGACCTAGAGTCACTGCATGGCTCAGGTTGGAAGGGACCTTAAAGATCATCCAGTTCCATCCCTCCTGCTGTGGGCTGCTTGCCACCCGATAGATCAGTGCCACCCAGTGCCACAACCCAGCACACAGAAGGTTCTCACAGCATTTCAGTCCCCGTGAGAATACCGGGAGAGCTACATCATACAAGATTGTTGGATAAGATCTTGTTTATGGCCCATGAAACAACAGTTTTGCTGCTATCAGGGTATGCATTGCCCCACACATCACAGAGGGACATCCTCACCACTCAGCTCTTGGAGAACAACCAGGGCTGGCTCTCCTTTTGTCGCACTGGCTTGAGAAGAAGAGCAGAAGGGAAACATTGCTGGGAGACGGAAGCAAAATCTTCCCTGTAAGAAAGAAGCAAAAAATGAACATGCCTGGAAAGGAAGAACTAAACACATTGTTGTCTGAGCTGGGTTTTCAGCATCTTTCAGAGATGGGCTTTAGCTTATGGGCTGGCAGCCACAAGGCCTGTGGGCCGAAGAGAGGCCAACTCCTTGACCTGCGGACTTCAGTGCAAAGGCAGTCTGTGTTCTCTGATAGCTAATCCAAATGATGTGGGCAAACCATTGCTGTACGTGTGTACCATGCCTGTCTGATCCCACAGGCAAACCAGGCTTCTTAATCAGGGCCATTTGCAGGGTCTACTTGTTTTATTTTAAAAATACAGCCCACAGAGAAAGAAAACCGAGGGACTGTTCCAGGAAAAGAGAGAAGAAAGACATTTAGGAGAACTATCTAAAATTCAGTTTGAAGAAGGAAGAAAAACTGCAAACATCCCACATCTCTCCGTTATAAATGAAGGGACCCTGGGAGGGAGGCGCTGCACACCCACCTGGGCACAAGGGTTTGCAGCCAGATCCCTGAGGAGAAGCAGGAGAGAAAAGTGATATGGGAAATAAGTGAAAACCAAGAAGGCAAATTCAGGCTGGGCAGAGGGCCAAAGCAAGGCCAAGTGCAATTCTAGAAAATGGGAGCGAAGCCAAAGGCACCAAGGTGTCACAACAGGTTTGTGCTGCTCTGCAAAGACAACTGTGAGCGACGCAGCCGGCAGGTGCACGGCATCACAGACCTGGAAGGATGCAGGCTTCGAGCTCGGGTGTTGAACAGATGGCTTAAGATAAGAGTTTAAAGCAGCATTTTCCATTTGCGTTGTGCCCACTCTCAGTGTGACACTCATGCTTCACAGCAGCAGCCAGCTGGGCACACTGGTGTAGCACTTTGAGTCACAAAAAGCAGAACAAGGCAGCTGCAGCAATTTCCCTGAGGATCTCTTTGGTCTCACCCCACATTCCTGCTCGTCCCACCTCTGCCCTGCTGCTTGCTGCCTCTTCCCACCCTCTGTGCTCGTCCCTGAGGAGGCACAGAGGCAAAGCAGGGCGGGGGGTTCTGCTGCTTCCACTTCAGACCAGGCTGAGCATGGCAAGGACACATGGGGCCGAGTGGGTTTGGGACTTGAGGGACTCCAAGGAGGAAATTAAGTGGATTAAGACACATGGTTGGAGAGCGGAGGATAGAATGAGGAAGTGAAGAGAGTTTAGAGCCACTGAGTGTTGACTTGAGTCAGGGACAGCGGATCCAAATACGGATCCAAATCACAAAACAGCAGTGACTCCTTTTTTCAGAGGTTCCCCTGTTGGTAAGCCACCAAGAGCCCAAAATGAGACAACCCCAGAGGAGGAACCATGAAACAGAAGGCATGACTGGATCACCTTCATCACAGCTTTTGGTAGGGAAGCATGCTTGAAGTGGATGTCTGAAGGTATTTACAGTGTTGAGAATGGCTGCAGCCTGCAGGCAACAGAAGGGTCACCAGAAAACTGGAGACCTAACTGGTCTGTGCTTGCAGGAGACAGCTCTGCTCTTTCAGAGGTAGCTCCCAATGCACTCAACATTCTTCAGGATGCAGAGAATTTATCTCACTGAGCAGCATCCACACAGGCTCATTCTGCCCTGCTGGGCAAAAACTCCTTTCTCCCCAAACAGCAAAACTCCAAGTCCAGCCTGCAAACAAAACAAAACAAAAGAAAACAAAACAAAACATCCGACCACAGGCAGCGGACGAAACTACAAAAGCATTTTTTTAAATAAAATAAATAGCTAAAAGCTGAGCTCTGGGCTCGGTGCTGCATTCCCACAGTCCTGGCTCTACCAGCTACAGAGATCCCAGAGCTCTTGGCCTTCACGGGGCGAGCAGCTCCGTGTCTCCCATGGCAGAGGGCACACATGGTGATGTGGCTCGCGTTACTGAGCAGGATCGGATGATAGGTGCAGATCCACGATGCTCAGCAGCAGGCACAGCTGGTCAGCAGCCCACAGGTCAGTCCTTTCCCTCTGTCTGAACGTCCATCCCCACCTTCCTGCTCTGAAGTAAGAAGAGGCCCTTCCTTCTTCCTTCTCTTGTTGCTGCAGCTCTGCATGGACATGATTACAGCACAGGGCATCAGTGCAGTACGTTTCAGCTCACATACACTTGTTACAGCCAGAACTGTTGTAAAATGGTTGTTTTGACTGCACCGTAAGAAACGAGCAGTAAATCCAGAGAAAAGCCCTGCCCCACAGCCTTGGGAAATGCACTGTCATCCTTTGCTCCCTTTGTAGGTCGGGAGATTTTTCTCCACGTAATTTTATGCTGCTCAGACACCTGATGACCCGAGTGGTCCCAGGAAAGGGGAATTGGCTTCCTCTTTAAAAAGCCTGCTGTTTATTTGCAATTTAGCTTACCTGACTTGTTTAAAGCGTTATCAGAGTACGCCCATCTACTTTCTTTTATTCGTTTTCACCTGATATCCAAGATTTGCTTGAATTGAGAATGCCTAAAGCCTCAGGCGTGTTCCTGGGTGTTCTCAAGTCTTAAATGCCACTGCTTAAAGAGTTAAAGATCTAGATGGCTGCACTAAGAGGATGATAAACTAATCACTCAGTCACTGCTGGTGAGCCTGGTGTCATTTACTGAAACAAGGAATGCATTTAAAAATGTAAAAGAAACTCCATGCGGTGCAAAAGCCAAAGATGGTTGTTAGATTGTCAAGGTTTACTTTGGAGAAAGTCCTCAGTTTAATTACTTGCATTTAAACAACAGAAATATTTTTCCACACATTGAAGAACCGACCGTTTTCCTTTCAAGTCAATGTGGTTTTTTTTAATATGACTCAGGGCAGCAGATTACATTCAGGGGACTACAGAAATATAAGAAAAGGGCTGGGGAGAAAAAAATAAATCTTATAGGGGCAAGTAAGAGATGTGTCCTATCATAATCATAGGAAAAGCAGATACAGAAATTATAGTACTGCAACTTCACATCTCCCCGTTGATTTGTATCTTCTTGTTCTGTGAAACAGTGTGATAGAAAAGCACAGCTCTCAGCACTCAACAGAAACAGTTTTCTCTTTATGTAAAAGCCAGGCTCTGTTTTGGTGTTAGAAGAAGGAAATGCTTCAAATCATTTTCCTTGCAGACTCTGAACTGTGAAGGAAATGAAAGGGTCCAACGCTTTGTTTTTGCATTTTAGGATTTGGAAGACTGGAGTTTTTTTAATCTGGCCCTATTCCTATCAAATAAGACTAAAACATCAAAGGAATTTTGTAGGGCTCACCCAGTCAGCTAAGCTGCCAATAATATCACTTTTGTATCGTTGGTTCTTATAGCAGAACATGACAATTCCAGCGTGCCTTGGGGCCTGTGCTTTTCCACCACACCAAATCACAGAGCTACAGTCAGTGGATTCCACCACAAGTTCATCACTGATGAGGAATTAAGGCCTGGAGTGATAGAGGATATCCCTCCAAAGTAAAACAGAGGTGTGCCCACAGCTCCTCTCTGCAGATCAGTGTCAGTTTGCCCTAGCAAACTGGCAGTCATAGGAATATGGGTTTTGCACATCCTTACAGTTTAGCAGCTCTTCAGAGACTCTGGATAGGTTCTCTGATGTGGCTCTAGCAGACCAGTTGGTGTCAGTTTGACCTAGGAAACACAAGTAATAACAGAAGATGAAGCAATATCCGCTTAGCAAGTGCTAACTGCTTACCAGCTCTCCAGGGACTAGGTGGGCACTGCTTGCTGGCTTGAGCGAAGCTCGTCCCACAGCTCTGGTACTGCAACCCAAATTTCTTCCTCTTGGGAGGCAGAACACACACAGGACCACCACGACATGCCTGACAAGCTGCCTGGGATCCCTTCCCTGCTGGGTGATGGCCGATGGCTCAGGTGGCTCTGCTGGTATAGGCACAGTGTCTGTAGAAGTAAAGAGAGCTTCAACCAGAGCCATGGGATCAAAATTCGGTTGCAACCCCAGCTGATCAAATGGAGAAATCTACAGCAACCTCATGTCCTGAAGTGAACATTGAAAATACATCAAATTGCTCTTGAAAGGCGGCTATTTCCCTGCATGCCTAAAAAGGGAAGCTAAATGAGTAACTCAGGTGTTGCTGTCTACACTTAAAGATCTAAAGGCAAAAAAGATGAATGCTAGTCAAAGGAACCTGCTGTTCCTGTTGTATAAACTTTTCCCTCTACAAAGAGACTGCGTTCACCCTAGGAACTGTCTCACTTGCCTCACTGCACTCCATGAAAGGAAGAGAGCAAACACTTTAAGATCAGTGGGATCCAGTAATGGTTCCACTGGTAAGGAATGGGAAACTTGAAATATACTCGCAGTTCAACACAGCATAATCACTGTGCAAACTATTTCTCCCCCATCTTTGTATGCATGTATTTCAAGAGTTGAAAAACTGCTGCTCTAGTGCTTCTCAGCAGCTAATAAAAACCCTTGTTAATAACATCTGGGTACAAGATAAGGAAACCTTGCAAAGAAACACGAGGCATTCAACAAGTTTCTGCAGTGGGTTCATCACCAGTCCTCTGAGGACTTTGCTCTGATGTCCACTGAGGTGTTGGGGTGTTTTTCCATTGACTTCACTGGGCCCTGAACCAAGACCAAAGCCTCCCCGCTGCGTTTTGGACATTTATTTGTGTTTGATCTGTAATAAGATCTTTCATTTCTCTTATTTCTGTAAAAACAAATAAAGCCACAGAACAGGAAAGCAACTAAACACACGCTTATCTTTGAGCATATCCCTAAACCCGTTCACTTCAAGCCCTTAAGTCCTATGGACCCCTGAGAGAGAAAAGTACACACTTAAAATTAAACATGTGCTCAGGGTGTTTGCTAATTAATGATGGCCCTGTGTCTTACAGGGCCCTAAGCACATATTAAAGCATTTGAGGTTTTAGGGTCAGTATGGGAGAAATTCCATGGAAACCACCTCAGAAGTACAGCTCTCGGTGCTGTATCTAACACTGAGCCTGTCTTTATGAAAGGTGAATCTGATCTAGCAGTGATTCTGTGACAGTACCATTTGCTACTAGCTGCAGGAAGTGGAGTTTCTTAGTTGTACAAACAAGAATATCTAAAACAAGAGCCTTTTCTTGACTATTGCTACAAAACAGCTCCACTCCATCATGATGACCAAACTCATCACAGCAAAACTCCTTTTTGCAATGTATGTGTTCACTGGCATCTCATGAGCAACTGTGTCTTGCTTCAGACAAAATATGGTCTCTGGCCTCCTCCACTTTGCTTAGAGGAAGCACTCATGATCCTCTCAAGGGCTGCTGTTGGAAGATAAGGGAGCCTTCACCATCAGACCAGACAAAAAAAGAAAGATCATTCCCAGTCATCTGCAAGGAGCAAAAAGCATTTTTTTCTTTGCCACACCTTGTTTATTTTGGACCTTTGCTAAAGAATTTTGGAACTCTCAGCCCACAGATAGGGCCTCAAATTTAACAGCTCTGACAGGTCAAATCAATGTTGTCTCTCATGAGAGAACATTTGGGAAGACTCCTTGCAGAAAAGGCCTTTCCATACAGTTCTGCCTGAGAACTTCTTCCAGTTTCTACTGAGCATTTCACATTCACATGGGCACCACATGCCAGCTGACATCCCACCTCGTGCCTTTATAGCATCTCCCGTGCAAGGACCAAGACTTGTCCTTCTCCATTTCTTTTTCTTTTAACATATCCTCCTAAACTTATTTCTCAAAGTCCACCATTACACTCCACTTTACGATGCTCTGGCCCTCCAGCTCTCTCTATACATTTTATGCTGCCCCACGCTCATAGGTTCATTGTTCTGCAGGCTGAACAACGAGGCTATGCTTTCATGTCCACTACCAAGGAATCTTGATGAGATGTTAGCACCCACAGCTCAAATTAGCCAGAGCACCAAGTCTGATGCTCCTGCTGGCTTGGCTATTTATACAGGCCAAGGAAAGAAAGACAGGTGACATCTAAACCCAGCATTAAGCCTTCAGAATAAATAAATAAATAAATAAATATTTGAGTGCTTCACATCATATGGCTGCACTGTCTTTGATCTTAATCTGGATTTACCACAGCTTCACACTTACCTTTGAGTAAAAGGCTGAGTCAGTGCAGCGCCCAATGAATTCACCAAGAACAAAAGGATGCTGCAGGCTTTGCTTGCCTGGAAGCATTAGTCCTCCACAATCCAGGATCTAGAAAAAGACACAAAATAGCTTCAGCCCAGCCCACGCTACTTTGGAGGACAAAGAGGAGCATAAGCACAGGAAACTTTTTATGGATCCTTTCACAGCCCCCAGTTTTCACATTAACAGCAACAGTCTCTGTAGCTCCTTAATTCTTCAGTGCCAAAGGCTCAGCCCATGGGACGCCACAATAAGAGGAAACTTTCTGAAGAAGCAAGAGTGATCATCCAGTTTTAAACTGCCCTGGGGGACAGCCTACACAACTTTTGGAGAGAAACGTTGATATCACTGCAGGCAAGCGGATTTTAGAAAGTCTGTGTGATGGACATACAATGCTACTCAACATTCCCTCACTCTGCTATCCTTCCCAATGCTTTTCCACAGGCTGCTTTCCACATAGACTGTGGAAATGATGTGTTGTCTTCCTTCTGATGGCAGATATGTGGATTTTCCCAAGGAAACTCAGGGAAAGAAAATGTGTTCGATATATTTCCAAATCCCAAAGAAGAATGGATGGCTGTACTCCGAACAGACCTCCGAAAATTCACTTCTTTCACCACCAGATTCCTGTTCCCAATGCTAACGCTAACCTCTCTGTTTCCCTTCCTTTCTACACAAGATTGATTCACAGAACTTGATTTAAAGGATGTTTATTTCCATAACAAAAATGATCAGGGGTCTAAAAAACATGACCTATGAGGAAAGATTGAAAGAATTGGGTTTGTTTAGTCTAGAGAAGAAAAGACTGAGGGGGAGACATGATAACAGCCTTCAACTATGTAAAAGGTTGTTGCAGATAGGAAGGTAATAAATTGTTCTCCGTGTCCACTGGGTATAACACAAGAAATAATGGGTTTAAATTGCAGCAAGGAGGAATTAGGTCAAGCATTAGACAAGTTTCCTAAGAGGAAGGACAGGTGAGCACTGGAGTAAATTAGTCAGGGAGCTGCAGACCCTGTCACTGCTGAGACAAAGGTTTGCCAGGAATGGTTCAGACCTTGGGGCAGGGGGGATGGATGATCTCCCAAGGTCTGCTGCTAGGATGTATTTGCACCAGTCAATGTCATCACAATTACCCACAGCACAGGAAGAAAAAATCCTCCTTGAGCACTCCCAAAGATTCTTACTCTTGGTTTTATCTGTAGCAGCAATGTATTTGAAGGCATCCACAGTTATTTCTATCTAGACAATTAATTAAAGAATCATTTTTACATACCTACCCCCTGCATGTTTTCCTCTCGTGGTTCACGCTGTAAGATGACTTTTCTCCATCTACGAGGAGGCTTTTCTCCAGATAAGAAATGCAGGACTCCCACATAGGCAGTCCTGTCTGGAAGTGATGCCTGTCAGCATCAGCTGTGCCCGACCAAGGCCCTTTCAGATCCCTGGGCTCATACATCACACCCATGCCCTGCTCACAACAAGAGTTCTGCAGGAAACCCATGGAAATACAACACTCACAGAGCGTGCGCTGAAGCCAACCTTGTCAGACAGGATTCCTCTCCTCCCAGCATGGGGGACTCAGCCCCACAGCATGTCCCAGTCCAACCAGTTCACCCCCAGTGCAAAGGACAATGGAATGGCTTTTAAAAAACATATCACAACTTCCTGCCATTGCAGGCAGCCCTTTGCTATAAAAGCCATTTGGCTTCTCAACAACACAAGCGATATTCAATAAAAACAACGGGACGTTTCTCCACATGCTTGATGGTTCAAGACAATCATCCTGGTAGATACACAGCTAGAGGAACAAAAACCCCATCTATCTAACCAGTGAAGAAAACACAAATATAACCATTCCGTGGTGAAACTAATCTGCTCCATATATCCTCCAGTAAGCCATGATTTCAGTTTCTTGCCCAGATTGCAGTTTCTTTTCAAGTGACATTAAAACTACCTTACCCACGGTTGGTTTCTTACTTGAGGAAAACCACAACAACTGTCCCATTCACCAGGAAACGCCATTTTGGTGCGTTCCAGCCTAAATGTTTACTTTTTTAAAGTCTGGTGACAGATTTCCATCAACGAGAAGGAAAAACATCAGCAGAATTCAAGGATATCTGGGTAAATCTTGTTTCAATGCTCTGATTTCTCATCTGAAATAACGTTAACATAACTGCACTGCTTTCACTGTAAAGTCATGTGTGCACACACACATGCAACTCACCAAAAATAAGAGAAACATTTTTTCTGGCCAAGGAAACATATAGTATGGTACCAGGATATAGACACAAATATATTTAAGAGAACTTCTTGTATCATTATTTCATGCTGTTCAGCAGATGCAGACTTTAATGGCACACAACATCTCACCACAAGTGTTCCTCCTTCAGGTTTCCAGTTCAGGTTCCTACAAAGAAGCACCGATTCCTACAGGTCCTGGTCTGATAACAGGGTTTGTCTCCCTCTGCTGGTGCTGTTTTAGCTTTTAGTGTCTTGAGTGGCTGGAAAATATTAATAATATTTTCTAAAATACCTGAGAAATCCAGGAGACACTCCTCGCTCAGTTCTCTAATCAGAGAGATCAAGTGCTGGCTGAAGAGCCAGGTGTGGTTAAATAAAGTAACACTGATATGTTGATGCTGATCAGGAACTGCTATTTCCCTCCTTGCATTTGCTGAAGATTCTTTGTTTCTGAATCAGAGCTACCAGGGAGGCTAATGGGGCTGCACCCTGGGGCATTATTTCTTCATGTCCCCTAACAACCAAACAGCCACACCACAGCATGCTTGGACATGGGTCTGTTTAAACCAGAGCTCCACTGAATAAGGGCCTTAATTCGGGTCCATCTTCACGTTTTCCCACTCTGTAAGGACAGCAGAACTCTCACTGATGTGTGAATGGATAATGCTCTGCCCATGGAACCTGCAGTCCCAGCCAGCAGCATAAATAACTACGCAAAGACCAGGGAGACAATGCTTACCAGTTTAGGACAGAGTATTCGTGGAACGGCAGAATCATGATGGCTGGAAAAGACCACTGAGATCATGTAGTCCAACCATCATATTCCTGGTCCTGAAGCAGGACAGCTATGGTAGGTGAACGTACTGGACGCAGAGGAACCAGCTCTCGAGGCTGTGCAGCTATGCCTTCAAGCCTAAGACTTGCTCCTTTGACTGTGAACTGGTAGTATTGTCAGGAAGAGTGGCATTAAACAGGACTATTCCCTGCAGTGATGAAGTGTGACAATTGCAGGGATGGATACCTGCTGTTGTGCCATCTGAAGCTACGGAAGGCAAACCTCACGCCATATTCCTGAGACATTAACTGCACCCCTTAAACCTACACGCTCAGATTACCACAGAACTCTTTTCTTCTTGGTGGATTTGGCTGGGGAAGACCCTAACCCAGAGTGTCTCACACCACAGCACGAGCATTTACAGCAATCTGGCAGCACATCTAGAAGACAGGGGAAGCTGATACACAATACTGTGTATACAACACCAGGTAGGATTCATCTTACCTAACTCTATCCATCTGAAAGACAAGCATCAGCTCTACACTCGTCATATTAGCTCCCCAAAGAGTCAGCAGTGACATCCACTTCCAGAGGGCAACTTATTCCATGGCTTTGCTGAGATAAACCCAACCCCATGAAAGCATTATCACCTCCATTTTTCACTTCAAAATAAGAGATGACTATCAGTTCTGTTCTCATCATTCACCTGACGGACAAGTGAGGCTCTGTAGAAGGCAATGGAAACACCCTGAATGACTTCAGCTGAAAAATGAGTCATGTGCTGAGGTCAGAACAACGACCTGGGTAGATCCCACATAATCTTTGCATTCATTTGAATATCTTTGCTTAAGATATTTTAGGGAAAAAATGAGTCCGATGGATCAAATCTATCACTTTCAGTGTGAGAACTGAATCCTCCTTGGAACAGCTCCAGCTAAATCTCCTGCCTGTGAGATGAAATACTGGAGTTGCAGGGTAAGGAAAGTGATCATCAGGACATACATTTCCTGAGCATGGGAAATAGGTCTGTAGGTACAGTACTGATGCTTAAAGAACTCCCCATCGTGCGTTTCACTCCTGGTTCTAAAAAAGACGACCACTTCAGCAGTGTCAGATCCCAACACAGGCTGCTGCATTTACTTCTGCATTTAAATGCACACAAGCACATAAAAACACCATTACATCAAGAATATGCCATTACATCAAGATTGATTTAGCCGAATCCCCCATAATTAGGTCATAACGTACGATTCAGCAGTTGTTAAGTCTGTCGTAAGGAAATCTACAAAGGGAATGAAATATTTAAAGCAGCAATAACATACGGATCCTGCTTCGCTATTTAGGCACGGTTACACACATAAAAACAAAGGAGCAGCTCTTAATCACAAGGACAATTTATTTTGCTGACCTTCCTATGGGGACGCATGCCAAAGCTGCTGGGGGTTGGTTGTTGGGCCACTGGGTGGGTTTTGCAGCAGAAAGTGCTCTGTCCCATTGTTGGAGGCTCTGGAGAAAGCATCGTGCAGCGCTAATTTACAGGCAGCACAGCTGGCAGGGCGGCAGCGCGGTACACAAACTATGGTTAAAAATAGGGCTGGCTTGACGAAATCTCATTCTGGTGCCTTCTAAAGGTGAGGGGCTTGGAAGACAGGCATCTCATTTTGCGCCGCCTCTGAGTCCATTTTCATCTTTGTGCTTTTCCCCTTGGATCCTGAGCTCCGCTTCGGTTTTGAACTTACATCGGAAGGCAGGAGGTTAAACCAAACTGTTAACTGTGTCTCTTCAAAACTGACATTTAATACAGGGTATAAATCACTGTGGGAGCCTGTTATTCCTTCAGGAATGCAATTACATAGGGTCAAATAAAACATGAAAGAACCCAACAAGTTTTAAAATGTAGTATGTTCTCAGAAGCAGGCAAGAAGGAATGCAAAGCAGTCCAAATATGCTAACATCCACATGTTGTTCTGTATGAGGGGGATTAGAAGGAAAGGTTTCTGTTCTTTAATGATTATGTTGTTAAGCATAGGTATGTCTGCAGGTTCAGGGCCCTCACTGAACACCAGTGCATTCAGGGAGCTTTGGGCAGATTACTGTATTTATTTAAAGCAGGTGTCTTTCGCCTATCACTACTTTAGTTGCCACTGCTTAAGACGCCATGGAGCGTACAAATGGGATATGCAGGATGGACACTCATCTTTACCCACGAGGCTCTGGGCCCAGAATGGAGGTATTCCCCATTCATGTGGGCTCTAGCAGCCACATTGCTGGGAGAGAACCACAGAACGGCCCGGGTTGGAAGGGACCTCAAGGGTCACGAAGCTCCAACCCCCTGTGCCATGCAGGGCCACCAACCTCCACATTTCACAGCAGCCCAGGCTGCCCAGGGCCCCATCCAACCTGGCCTTCAACACCTCCAGGGATGGACGGGGCATCACAGCCTCTCTGGGCAGCTGTTCCAGCACCTCACCACTCTCACAGCACACAACTTGTAGGACCACAGTATTGCCAAAGGACATCTCTGGTCCATCTTAGGTCACCCCAACCCCTCTCAGTCCCGTTGCTTTGCCATGGAACAATGCTAGAGAGTAACAGGCCAACACATAAATAAAACATCACGCAGCCCGTTAAAATCTGAACAAAAGACAGATTAAGCAGGTTCAGCACCTCCTATAAAATCACTCCCTGTCACCATTCACGTTTCACTCACGTTTCTCCGAGGTCAGAAAAAAACCAACACCCTTCTGCTTTTGTGTTTCAGCTGCGTGTTTAAATAGCCCAGAAGGAAATGTCGTGTGGCCAGAGATTCGAGCAAATTTTAAGGTCAACTTCTGCCACCCTCAATCGTGCAAAGCAGTATTTTACACTCTGAATGGTAAAAGCAAGCAAACTTTGAAGTTTCTTCACTGCAAATCTGGGACTTATTGAAGGCAACAATTTTATCTGAAAGTCATTTTGGGGTGTTGGGTTTTTTTTTCTTTTTTTCCTGCCAAATGGGATTTTTTAATTCCAGAGGAAAGGCTTTATGGATAAATAAAATTTTGGACATCTTACTATGGGAACTGTTGGCAGTGTTCCTTTTTCTCGTTTAAGAAAGGTGAGTCCTCCTCTGGAAGGAGTGATTTTTAAAATGTAGAAGCACAGAACCTGTAGAGTTGGAAGGGAGCTTCAAAGGTCATCTAATCCAACTCCCCTTTCATGGATGTATGAGAAAGCCTATTTCCCTTCTGAAAGGACCCCCACTTTTTAACTAGCTAACTTGTTTTTAGGATTCACATTTCCACTTCTGAAAGTAAGTTTCACGTTTTAACTCTAAGGAAGTAAAAACAAACAAACAAACAAACAAACAAAACCCCAACAACATAGAAATCAATGCATTTAGGAACTCACTCCTCTTGTTTCTTCTGTGATCAAGCAAAAAAAAAAAAAAAGTGCTAAAAAAGTTCTTAAAAATGGAATAAATAGGGAAAAACAACCCAGATGTCTTTAAGACTATTTTTCTCCAGCAGATTTCCTAATGGAAAATGACAGGTGGGGAGTTTGTCCTACACAGGACCCATAGCTCCAGCTACCAGATTCACCAGTGTTACCTTCACTGACACTGCCTGAACTAAACCTTGCATTGCTCTCATTTGTTTTACAGCAACCCACTGCATTACAGTCACATGGGTCACTGGTCCTGCCAACACTTACATATATTCTGAGAACAAAGCCAGTGAATAACATTTAGCATAACAAAAGCTTTGCTCAAAGTACAGATAGCACTACATTCTGTTACAAAGATGATTAAATACTTCCTATTGTAAGAGTGTGGCTTCAGTTGCTGAACGTGCTGCCCTACTCCAGCCATGGGAGTGAAATACCTCCTGCTAATCGTGTGCCTCAGGGCTGCTTTGTGTGTGGGAAAGAGTTTTTTTTTATTGTTTTCTTTTTAATATCAGCCAGAATGACTCACCTGTTTCAGAGAAGGAGGACTGGGGACCAAGCATTGCTCCAACAGTCTCTGAGCCCTTCTGTTTTAAAAGTTCTGATGTCTTACTTCTTTGCAACAAGGGCGTAAAAAATACCAGCAAAGAAGGCTGCAGCTGAAGAACAAACCTTCCCTTCATCTTGCAAAAGCATCCCCAAGAGAAGAAGAAAATAGCAGGTAGCCTGTATGTACATATATACAGGCTCACCTTCATGTCAGAAGGGTTGCCCTGGATTCAGCTGTTCTCTTTGCCAATGTGGACGCAACAGAGAGTTCCACCTGGCTGCAGAAAACCCCATTGTATTTGTAGTCAGGAAAGAAGTGAAAAACTGTGTGCGTATAAAGGTAAAGATCCATTGTAGCTGCGTTTGGTACAGCACAGACTGTGTGCAGTTCAAGGAGAAATACAGAAACTGACCGCAACAAACCGAAATGTTGAATGTGGTTGAGCTGGGAGGAAGTAATGTCAATCCAGCTGTGAACAGTGCAAGTAGGAACACATGGAACTGCAAATCAGATACTAGGATCGATTATACTGAAACTGATGCGTTAGAGAAAAAAGGATGCGGTGCCTTTATTTAAGGGGAAAATTATAGAATCATAGAATACCCCAAGTTGGAAGGGACTCCTGAGTTCAGCGTGACTGGACTTGATCACACACAGGGTCACATCACCAGTGTCAATATTATACAAAACTTCAGATGAAATACTGGGTGAAGGATAAAGAAAGCTGTGGGATAATGTGACATCAGGGACAAACTTTGGATCTGAGATTGGCAATGACAAGCATTTGTGCCAGGCTACTCTACCCAGATATCATTTAATATCACTGATATTGGCACACAAAACTACTAGTTAAACTGGAGAAGATAAGACAAGTGTTGTAAGGGGGATGATAAATTGGCTAAAATGGAGATGATAGCAAGTTGTACTGACAGAAGAACTGAGCTGAAGGGAGGTTACTGGAGGAATTCTCAACATCAGCCATGGAATGACTGCATTTAACACTGCCTCTGCCAGCGTTGCTGCAAAATGTAGGAGCATTTCTAACCATATTTGCTGAGGTGCAGAGTTAAAAGACACCATCAACACCACAAAAAGGGGAACATCCTACTACACAGGACTCAGACAGAAATAGGTTCATCAGATGTCATTATCGCTGCGTAGGGCACTAGTGACTGCTTCCTCCTCAAGTCTTCCCTGCCCATTCATATTTGAGATCAATGCAACGAAGGGGGGAGGGAACGAAAGCTCAGCGCTGGCACTATGGCTGGGAGGAAGGAGGGAATAAGGATTTCTGTGGATCAGGGTAGAGGAGTTCACAAACAGCACCCCAAGAGAAGCACCAGAACTCCGAGGCTACACCTTGATCATGTTAGGAACAGAGTTAGAAAATGAGGTTGCTTGTTCTTATTTATGGGGATCTCAGCTAGCAAAAGGGAGAGAGTCCTAATCTCAGAAACCTGATAAAACCCCACTAGATGTTGGCTATTCAGCAGGAAGAGAGTGCTGAAAGAAGGCGCACGGTTCAGCAAACACTTAGATATCTGTGCTGTCTGCTGATAAAGTTGTGGCTCAAACTCCATTGCCCATTTCTTAAATAACGTGAGCAAGCACACATTTCCAAGTAAGAATCAGATTCAAAAGGCACTGTATGTTAAAGAGAATTTTCATACCCAGAAAGAAGCCAGCATTGAGCTAGAACTGCTCCTGAGACCATCAAATACACACATCACCAGGCAAGATTTAAAACAAGGCTCTGACTTGGAAAATCCAGGACACCTTCAGGGTTTCAGGGTAAATCCCACACCATGTGTATTGGCAGGTACTGTGTATGCCACGTGCAGTGCATAAGCTGAAGGGGCAGATCCTGAGGACTGTACTTAGTGCTTTATCTGTCTTATATCACTGGTAAAACTGGATTTTGATTAAGTATTATGCTGGGGATCCTTGTTCCACTCCACACACATGCATGCATTCAGGCAGGCAGTCTCATAAACTTTAAGTACATTCAGAAATTCCCATATTACCTCTTGGATTCTGACCAGCGTGTGAAGGGAGCACTGGTAGATGAACAGTACCCACCAGTTCCAAAGCTATCTTTTTGCTTCCTGTGTCATGATCTGACCTATTGTCTTTTCAACAAAACTCCACCAGAATAAATAATGAGCTGTAGCCCTTCTACCAACATACATCTGCTGTATAAAGCAGGCCAAGAAAACAACCAACAATGTCAGCTCTTCATTCTGTTCCTCAGATCATCAACTCTGAAAATAACAAAATCTGAAAGGCATATGGACCTTCTCATAAAAACAACAAACACACAAACAAACCCTTAGATGAGTTTCCCGAGTCAGCAGGATTTGTCTGCTAATTATTACTGTGCAGAGGGTCCAACTGTCCCACAGCCAGGGATCACCCTAGAGGAGGGCTGAGTTCTTCACTGCACGCAGGATGGTTTGGGTAGGCTGAACTCCTTCTTTGGGGAACACAAAAGGGGTTGAGCTCCCCAAGCCGCCAAGACCTAAAGGACAGCAGGGGACTTGTGGTGTCCCACGTGAGAGCTGCTTGAGCCCTTACCTTCCACTTGCTGCCTCCCAGAGGTGGACAGCATGGGTTCTGCAAAGATGGGGAACGTGACTCTGGTTCAGGTGCCTTCATGGAGAAGTCTTAACCTGCATGGGGACAAACTCAGATAGGTGAATGACATCAGGTCTGGAATAATGCATGCTGAAAAAAAAAAAAAAAGAAAAAAAAAGGAAAGGAAAACGAGACAAAAAGGGGAGGGAAGTCTGTAGGCAGAGCCTACTTGTCCTTCACCGAGCCCCTCTGCCAACCTAGAAGGATGTCCATGGGGCATGGGAGAAAGGAGAGCAACACAAACCTCCAGTGCCAGACACAGAGGAGTCCATGGGACTTGGTCTCTCCTTTTTGCAAAGGACAGAGGGGAACAACGTGAACCAACACAGCAATTACCTTCAGCCAATGGGCCCCTGTGCAGCCTCCACATCCCAGCTCAGCGCTGCTGCCAGCCCTCTCTTCCAGGGAGAGGCTCGAGCTCACCTCCTCATCCAGAAAAAAAAAGTAGCATCTGTGGGAGAAAGACATATGTCTGGCCTCTACCGTGAACCCTGCGCCTGGCAGGAGAAAGCAATGCCGATTCCAGCCCCAGCTTTTCATTCCTGTTGTAACAGTCATAAACGCCTGCTGAAACCTAAGAAGAACAAGACTGTAATCCTAATAAAACAACATTCTGGAACCCTGAAAACTAGATGGAGGTTTCTCAGGCCAACTTTAAAATTATGTTCCCCTCTCCAAAAGCCGTACTTTCTGTGTGCCGATGGGATGGATGCTGTCAGGCTGACCCTGGGAAGAGCTGTGATGTGAGATTTCAGCAGGGGAGATGCAGAAGGCAGTCTTTGCAGCACAGAAGCCACCCTGTCCCCAAAATAGAAGAAGCCCCAGGCTCCCAATGTTCCCTCCTAAAAGCAAGGCGGGACCTTTGTCTCTAAAGCCAGCTTTCCTTTCCAGGTGCCCTGAGTGCCTGACTCAGTAGAGCAGACACAAGCTGTGCTGGTTCGGATGCAAAAGCTGGTGGAAAGGCACAAGTTTTCCGTGCTGAAATCTTTCCCTCCTTCCTTGGATAGTTACACTGAACAGAAGCCTTGGGGCTTTTCACTGTGCACCAGCACCCCCAAAGTGATGAAGAGCAGGGAGGAAGGCGTTCAGCTTCCCTTCTGCCCATCATACAGAGAGCAGCTCACAGGGATGCTCACTAGCTGGCACGTATTTCGACTGAGGCACCAAACCAGCTTCGTGCTCCTTGAAACCTGAGGGTGGCAGATCCACAGCAGCTCTCAATTCGCATCCGTCCCCTGGCACTGGTGAAGCTGGAGTTGCACCAGTGAAGGAGCTGCTCTTTGGAACATCTGCACGTCGAGCCGTGCCAGCCCGTTCCGAAGGAAAAGCTCTCTGCTGCCAACTCCTGTGATTTTCCTGTGAATCTTCCCTGGTGTTATGCAAAGCCCAAGCTCCTGATGTGCTGCTCTATCTGGCAATACCACTTTAAGAAAAAAGTCTGCCGTCCTTATGGTCCTAAAGAAAAAAAAAAAGCCTCAGGAGGTGGCCTGAACACATGCTAAGGGCTAAAAGTAGCATTTGCAGAATAAAACCATCCCATGATTTTTAAAAGACTCCTGGCATTCTGGAGGCCTGACTTGTGATCTGGGGACTGGCTGCGGAGAACCCAACAACTAATTGGGAAAGTGCTTCGTCTGGTGTCAAGTCTGTTTTTTTTTTTGGTGGTGGAAAGCACTTGACAGCCCTCTAATCAGCTCAGTGACACATAGCAATGACAGGAGTCATTCCCTACAGGGAATAGTACATTTGAATTGCAAACGACCACGGGGTGCTAGTAGTATTTATCTGGTAAACAGCTCTTTCTATCATCATGTTGACTTAAAAGCATTGATTAATTAACTCTACTGAGTCCCCAGTGAAGTAGGAAACTATTTTCAGGTGGTGGCTGGGGAAGCTTTGAAGGTGCAACAGTGCTCCATGCCCCAAGTCCAGGAGAAGCTATTGGGGCCAGGATTGGTTCCTTCAGAGCTCAGCACACAGGTGCTCCATATTCCATGGAGATGCTGCAAGAAGATGTTGTCTGCACCGAGCTCTGACAGCCTCAACACACCTGGCCAGGAGGAAAATGAAGGGCTGAAAACTAGATGGACTTATGGACAGTAAAAGGCATGGAGTTCTTGAAGCAGGTCCAGAGGAGGGCCACTAAGATGAGCAGAGGGCTGGAGCAGCTCTCTTATGAGGAAAGGTTGAGGGAACTGGGATTGTTTAGCTTGGAAATTAGAAGGCTGTGGGGAGACCTCATTGTGGCCTTCCAGTGCTTGAAGGGAGAGGATAAACAGGAGGGGAACGGCTGTTTGTGAGGGTGCATGGTGATGGGACAAGGGGAATGGATTTAAAGTGAGACAGGGGAGGTTTAGGTTGGATATGAGGAAGTTTTTCAGCCAGAGGGTGGTGAGGCACTGGCACAGGTTGCCCAAGGAGGCTGTGGATGCCCCATCCCTGCAGGCATTCAAGGCCAGGCTGGATGTGGCTCTGGGCAGCCTGGGCTGCTGGTTGGCGACCTGCACACAGCAGGGGCTTGGAGCTGGATGAGCACTGTGCTCCTTTGCAACCCAGGCCATTCTGTGATTCTGTAATTCTATAAAACCTGCTCCCAGGCCACAGTGCCTCCGATCTTGGTGCTGATACTGAGGGCCTCCTTGGCCTCGGCTGAGCCATCAAACACCCTTGTGAAGACAGATGCGCCGATGCCCCCCTTGCCACATGAAGATCACTCTTGATTTGCTGACTTGGCCCTCATCAGGAGGTGGTGAATTCTTAGAAATCTGGCCCTGAGCTATTTTGGTTCAGCCTCACCTTGCACAGCAGGACAGATGGACTTCAGGACAGACAAACCTCAGCACGGCACTGACTGGGTCTCAAAGAAAAGGGGAAAAAAAAAAGGGAAAAGATGTGCCAGCATTAGCGAGTGCTGTTCCTGGTTTATTTTGAGTCTTTGCTGAGTGGAGCCTTCAATCGCTGACGATTGGAGCCTTGTGAAGGGGGTCTTATGGATTTGGAAAGAAATCAACAGGCATAGGCAGTGCTGCAGATCAAAATGATAGCATGTATTTTTGCTGGCCATAAAAGAGTGAGCATTTGCGAGTGTGATGCACAAAGGGAGGAGATTCAGCCATCAGCGCCTCGCACATGGTACGTTTTTCCCCCATAGCTAATACAGGCATCTCCCCGTGCTTCTTAGGATCACCTCTGTGTTGGAAAATAAGCTGTGTAAGTCACATTCCACTCATTGATTCAAATCAGCTAAGTAGAATTTTGCCTGATATTCAGTCCACAGAGAGGGGAGGGAGAGAGAACACTTAGCACTCAAATAACTAAAAGCTTCTACTGTGACACAAAGGCGAGCTTCACCAACCTTTCGTTTCCCCCACTTTGTCGCCGCGCACAGATCCAATGAAATCAAATGAGATAATCCCAGCCTAGAAGCAGAGGTGAAAACCTCCCAGAGCTCACGCAATCAGCGTGCAGCTCGGACACTGCCGACTTCCCCCTCAACTATTTCCAAATAAAACACTTTTGTTGCTCGGCTGCTCCTGCCAAATGAGCTAACAATAAAAGAAGAAACTCGCAAAGCCTCTATCCGCAGGAAAAAAACATAAGAAGGAGAAAGACGTTAAGGACCTTTAGGAAAAGAATATGAGAAAAAAAGAAACAGGAAACTATAGGGCAGACCCTCTGGATGGAGCAAACCAGCATAAGGCCCAGCTCTGTTGCTCGACCCCAGGCAAATTGTGGGCCTGGTGCTATGCTGCATTTCTCAGGGGTAGGGGGTGGTCTCCACTGGAAGATTGCGACACTGCAGGATACTTTTCCATATTAAAAAGGCGCTTTGGAGCGTTTTGTCTATTGCCAGGTTTTGGGTTTATTGAGGACTCATTTGGCAGAGCCATCCTGGAAGAACAATACAGATGTTTTATGGAGAAATAAACTGGGACTCGGGCTGGATTCTTTCAGTGCTGAATTCCACCTAATTTGGAGGGTGGAATGACTCTTTTAATGAAGGGTGCAATCAAAACCTGTATGAAAAGCCAACATGCCCTGGGCAAAGAGAGCAGTGGATACACTGCCCCTCTCTGCTGCAGCAGCCCTGTAAACCCCGGTCTCTTTAGCACAGCAAAAGCCTCCCTTGTCCCACCCCTCTTAACCTGAGGAAATGGAGGCTCACTGTTCCTCTTGGTGCCCTCTGTTGTGTCTCTTGGAGGGAAGCGGTGGTCTTTCAGGAATGAAGGTGATTTCCAGACCAGATGTGCTACATCTTGCATCTTTGTAAGGAGCTGCTCCAGTGACTCGTGGAGTTAGCTCTTCTTTGTCAACAGTCCCTCATCAGGGACATACAGAATACTTTTAATTAGTGTCTCCTCAACTTTTCCAAGGGAGGCTTCTGGTAGGTCCTTCACTTGGGAGAAACTGTAAGGGAAGGGTTGAAAAACGTTCACTTTCTGCTCACAGAGAGCTTTGGCTGGGCAGATTGGGCTCCCTTACTTGCAAAGAAGGCAATGCCAGATGACTGAACCATCCAGCTTCATTGCTTATTGTCAGATTTTTCATTTCAGAAGCCGTGCCTAATAAAGTCATCCAGCCTGATTCACTACCTAATCCACTTTCTTTAGCCTCCTCTCCAGATACACTGAGAGGAACATAATGTAAGTATCCATTAAATCACTGCAATTGTCATCTATCAAATAAATGTGTTTGCCCACAATGCTAATTGCTCGTACTTCAGTGAGAGCAAACCTGTTGACTAAAAACCTTCTCTGGCTTTTCACAGATCCATCAAATCATTCAGGTTGGAAAAGACTTAGAGGATCCCCAGGCCCAACCCCAGCCCACCCCACCATGCCCACATCCCTCAGTGCCACATCTCCACTGTTCTTGAACACCCCCAGGGAAGGTGACTCCATCGCTTCCATGGGCAGATTTTTCTTTGGTTCTTTCCTTCCTTCCCATTATGTGCAATTTGCTCTTTGCATCAACCATCCCTTCAGATCTGTTTGTGGAGCTCAGCACTTTGGCTAGCAAAGCAAAGAAGAGAGACTTGAGTGTTAAACTGACACGCATTCTCTAGGGCTATGAGAAGTGGCCAGATGTGCTGGGCTATGCTACAGAAAGGCTCACAGTGGAGAAGTGAAAGATGGGAACAAAATTCACACAAGCTCCTTTTCACCTTGTTGCAGCAAACTGCAAGGTACCAGAAAACAGCATACATCCTGAACAGCTCTGAGAAGCTGATAGCTCACAAGTGGAGGGATGGGCTCATGGGAAGACAAGGCTTTCAGGAATTGCACTGTGCAAGGTAGAATAGGCTGGCTTTGATCCAGGGAGCCCTTAAGCACACAATTTGCCTGCATAGGATGTGTCAGTGGACTGCGCTGCAGGCACAGAGAGAAATCTCCTTTTCTGACACTATTTCTAACTTCTTCTCATTCGTTTCTTTCTCTTTTGAAGTCAAAA